AGGTATTGGAGTCTTTGGTTTGCAGCTCTAAGTTTGTATGGAGTTCTGCTAGGGTTTAGGGTTTAGGGTTTAAAGACCACCTGAACACACGGATGTCACAGTTAGGTTTTTCTGGACTGTACCTTTTCGGCCCCCTTGCACCCCAAAGACCCTTATGGTTATAGGGGTCCTAAACCCTCAACCCTAAGCCCTAAACCCCACACCCAGAGACTATTTACCCTCAACCTTCAACCCTAAACCCTAGACCCCCAAGACTAACTAGGACCCCTGTGGTAAACCCTGGGGCCCCGAAACCCTAATCCCTAAATCCTAAATCCCTAAACCCTAATCTCTAGACCCCAAACCCTCCTAATTTTTGGGTGTCAACTGGGAGTTCAGAGTTGGAGGTGGAGGGCCCGGCTCGTGAAGCGCTTTGCGGGGCATAGGGTTTAGGGTTTAGGGTTTTGGGGGATTGGGATTTGGGGTTTCAGGGTTTAGGGTTTAGGGGGATTGGGATTTGGGGTTTCAGGGTTTAGGGTTTTGGGGGAATTCGGATTTGGGATTTAGGGTTTAGGGTTTGGTGATTACGGTACAGGGTTTTAGGGTGCCCCGAAGAACTCGCCTTCTCCAGGTTCGTTATGATTTCTTGGTAAAACTATTTAGGGTTTATGGTCAGGGATACTACCAGTTAGGATGTGTACAAGGGTTCCGTCTCTGCTGAAACTCCGACATAAAACTTTTACAACAACATGGTACCCAGCTTCAGAATCGTCACCCGGAACCTCAAAACCCAATACCACAGTCAAAACCGTAAACACCGTAACCCCAATCCCTAGCAATTAAATTTTAAACGGTCACCTTAACCCTAATCCGTAAACCCTAAACCCTAAACCCTAAACCCTAAACCCTAAACCCTAAACCCTAGCGAAACACAACCGTAACCGCAATATAGGGCCTTGGGACCGGAGCCTTCACGTTTGGAAAGGAGACCGAAGCAAAAAATCCACAAGATCTTCTAAAACCCTTTAAACAAGGAGTTTACCTTACACTATAGTAGAATCGATACTGTGGTTTAAGATATATAGCAGGATCCCTAGTAAGATTTGAGGTATATTCCGTAATTGAGGGATATTGGAAGACTTGGGCTTGTTCCCTGATAGGACGCTGGCAGAAGACTTTGGCCGTGTGTTACCATCTGAACTTGAAGTTCGCGACGAAGGCAGTCAGATAGTTGCTCGTTCGGTCCAGCTTTGAATCCAAGGTTAGAAGTATGGGCCCCTAATATGGACCCTTAGGCCTTTCTACGGGCCCCTTATGGGTACATATAGGGCATATAAATAGGTGTATAAGGAGCCCAGGGTTTAGGGCCCATACTAGGGGCCCATAGTTTCAACTTTAGAGGAATGTCAGCTGATGTTTCCACTGCAGTACCTTTCGAAGTACCATGTAGACTACTTGGAGGTTCATGGGACTTAGTAAGTACACTTCTAACTACCGTAACTGGGACTATAAGTAGATATAAGTACAGTTACCTTATTTATAACCCCAGTTGCTAAGTCCCATGAACCTCCAAGTATGGGTTGATAAAAGACCCAATGTGTACTCACCGGCAGTCTCTGGCTTCGGGCTCAGCGTCGGATTGAGCATTCTATATTGGGCGTAGTCGGTTCTGCGACAGTGGCGAGCTTGAGTTGGGGTGTCAGGGTTTAGGGTTTANNGTTTAGGGTTCATAGGGTTTAGGGCTACTATAGTATTATAGTGCTGCAGTTTGGCCCCTCCCGGCCCCACCCGCTCGGAAACTCCTCCTATCGTTTTGATCACCCCTCCTCTCACCATTACTTCGGGCCTTCCAAAGATCATATTCGTCGCGGTCTAAACGCTGATGAACTGGTTTTGGCCCGGCGCGGACCTGAAAAGTTCATGTCGCTAATCTTTGGGAGCGACTCCCTCTCCGCGACCAGCAAATGATTGATGTAAGTCACTCTCATGTGCAGGACAGCTCATGACCTTCACTGCCACACACGCAATGCCATATTATCAAGCGATACAATATACTGCAAGTCTTCAAGTAAACGGCGAACCTAGAAGCACACGCGCCGGCTGTCACGCAGCAAGTGTTCCCGAGGACGCATTCCCCACTGCAAACTCAGTTCGGGATAGTTGCAGGAGGTGGGGTCGGAGGGGAGGCGGAGGTTTTTTATTTTGGGGGGAGGGGGGTGAGGGGAGGGGGGTGCGTGCGTTAACGAGCCTCCTGCTAGGGGTCTCAAGGCTAAAAAAAAACCTGAATAATTACCTATACTATT